CAGAATTGTTTAACATCGCTCAGTAGCCCTTTACAAATGCAGGTACGTCGACAGGACGTCTCCCGTCGATATCACAAGCAAGAGATAGGTGTCTTCGTTGGCGCCTGCCCTATCTCTGCTTCAGGCGCCCCCTGCTTCTTTTTAACCCGAAGGGAAAAAAGGCAACGTATGGAAACCTTAGAAACAGGCGGTGACACACACACACACACACTGGGGAATGAGTCTTGGAGTGTGGAGCGTTAGGATGATGGCAAAGCCCAGAACATCCTACCAAGCGTGTGCCCTTGAAAATTCGAAAAGCCAAGCAAAGTCGGCGACGCCATCGATCAATGCATCAGCCCTTTACACGGTAAGTTAAAATGGCAGGTACACACGAAGGCCTCCCTTCTCGCTTCACCAGTTGTGAGTCCGTCTTGGTTGGCCCAGGGCCAACTCACAACTGCCTGGGCCCCCCTGCTCTCAAAGTCGATACAATTTAGAGAAACTTGTCAACCGCGTGTAAGAGCCCGTTACACACACACATGGCCCTCCCCGTGGAGGGCTGAGGGCTCAGACTTCATGAGTGGGCCTATGCGCAACAGTGTCCCGAAATTCGAACAGGCCGATGCCGAATAGAGCCCAAACCGGTGGGTCTCGTTAGCGTCCTGAGTTTGAAAACCGCAGAAATGCGTGCCTTGGTTCGATCAGAGCTCAAGTGCAAGTCTGCAGAGAAACCCAAAGGATCCTGGGGGTCTTAAACGGAAGTGAGGCCAAAAGCTCAAGCGCAAGCCTGCAGAGAAACCCAAAGGATCCTGGGGGTCTTAAACAGAAGTGAGGCCAAAAGCTCAAGTGCAAGGCTGAGCTTCAGATCCGGGCAACGAGTGCAAAGCACTGAAGTAATCAATCAAATCGACTTCTGCCGCTTTGCAACTGCGCTCGATGGCAGCTTCTGCCGCTTCGCAACTGCGCTTGCAAGCTAAGAACAGTCTGTCTGAAGACTGTGTCTTCCGCATGTGAGCAACCAGTCAACACCACATTGGTGTGCTAAATTCTGGAACCTCTGGACGAGGACCAATTGCTTCTCGCGGGAAGGCCCGTGCCAGCTATAGAATTCCATGAAGGGTCTCGACGGTGTTGCCAATTCTGGCATGCGCCCTCTACACACTGGGGAATGAGTCTTGGAGTGTGGAGCGTTAGGATGATGGCAAAGCCCAGAACCACCTAAGTGTGTGTCCTTGAAAATTCGAAAAACCAATCAAAGTCGGCGACACCATCGATCAATGCATCAGCCCTTTACACGGTAAGTTAAAATGGCAGGTACACACGAAGGCCTCCCTTCTCGCTTCACCAGTTGTGAGTCCGTCTTCGTTGGTCCAGGGCCAACTCACAACTGCCTGGATCCCCTGCTTTCAAAAGTCGAGCCAATTTAAAGAAACTTGTCAACCGCGTGTAAGAGCGGGTTACGCACACACATGGCCCTCCCCGTGGAGGGCTCAGACATCATGAGTGGGCCTATGCGCAACAATGACGTCTGTGATTGTACTGTCCCGAAATTGGAACAGGCCGACGCCGAATACGGTCCAAGCCGGTGGGTCTCGTTAGAGCCCTTAGTTTGAAAGCCTCAGAAATGAGTGCCTTGGCTCGATCGGAGCTCAAGTGCAAGTCTGCAGAGAAAACCAAAGGATCCAGGTGGTCTTAAACGGAAGTGAGGCCAAAAGTTCAAGCGCAAGTCGGCAGAGAAACCCAAAGGATCCTGGGGGTCTTAAACGGAAGTGAGGCCAAAAGCTCAAGTGCAAGCCTGCAGGGAAACCCAAAGGATCCTGGGGGTCTGAAGCGGAAGTGAGGCCGAAAGCTCAAGTGCAAGAGTAAGTCACGAGAGACGTAAGAGCGGGTTACACTTCGAACTTGGGTTTTCAGTTATATTCAGTTGTCACGATGGGAAGGAAGGTGATGGAACGGCGTGGTGAAAGGTCCGAAAACTTGAAGGTGTTTCAACATTGAAAGTTGTCATCTGCAGAAACACGCGAGCGACTGCGGTGAAAGGCTGCAAAAAAACGCGTGGCTGCTGCAAGTGGCTGAAAGGAAAAAGGTTTGGGGGAAGTATCATGAACCACCATGGAATCAAACAAAGAGAATTGGTACAGCTTGAGCAAGAGTTAGTCGCAGGTACACGGAGGTGATCAATCTCCGCATCCCCCATCGTGGAACAGCTTCGTTGGCACAGGTATCCACGATGGGCCTGTGCCCCCTGCCTGTGATGAATTCACATCAATGGAAAAAGAACGATCTCGGTGGTAGTGGAAAGGTGAAAAGGTGGAAAACCCTTAGAACCAGGGTGTGACACACACACACACACCCAGCACCCTTTTTCTTGCACTTCCTTCCCCCTTGTTCTTGTGCGTGTCCCGTGTTTTGTTCTGTTCTTGCGTTCATTCCTGTGTGTAAAAGGGAAGGAATTGATGACTCTCATTCTCAGCGGCAGGCCAGCACGAGGAAGCATGAGGTGTGGCGAGTCGACTTTCGGGTTTGAGACGCTGCAGCGGACTGCATGCAATCCACAAAAATCGAACACTCATTGGATGTTTTTCTTGGATCTTGGACTTAACAGCCCCTTCCCACAAACAACAAGCATTCATTTTGTAAGTAGTTATTTATTGTTACTGTTATTTTTTTGTCCGTTGGTTCTTCCTCCCATTCTTTAGAGAGATCGTTGGTCCTTTAGTCTTCCAAGTTTTCCAAGTAGTTTTTCCAAGGCCTCAGATCTTGGACTCGACTTTTATCTTGTTACTTCAACCTCGAAGGAGGGGTTGCTGTCGTCTTGCGCCAGGCCTGAGGTAAGAAAACAAACAAGTTCAAGATGGGCAAAGCAGGCGCGACATCCTTGCTCTGCACAGTTTGGGTTGAAGCAAATGATCATGTGAGAAGCTTTGCTTGCCATTTGTGTGAGGTCAGGAAAAAGAGCGTCAAGCTGGACGAGGAATTTATAGAGCCTTCGAGGACTCAGGTCAGACAGATCTCTTCCCAATCCCACACGAAACATGGCGCGCACGAGCAGCGCGCCATGCTTCGCCCGAACGTCTCTCCTTGGACCGTTCGACTCTTGGACCGAACGACTCTCTTCGGTTCTTCGACGAACGCCCCTAGTAGCGTCCTTTGCTCCTAGTAGCGATGCCCTTGGCTCCGTTCGTCGCCCTTCGGTCGGTCCAGTCCCAGCGAGTGGAGTTTGTGAAGACGGTTGGCGTTCGTCCGGGCGGCCCAGCGTCCTGGGGCCCGAGCGGCGGAGCGGGAGCAGGTCGGACGGAGCGTCCCGAGGCGCCGCGACGGAGCTGATGCGCGAGCAGCGGAAGCGCGAGGTCATGGCCGAGTCTTGGAGGCTGATGAAGAAGGAAACAGATATAGTTGTTAGTTGTTAGTGAAGAAAGTGAAGAAAAAGAAAGAGATAGAGAGAGAGAGAGAGAGACAGAGAGAAAGATGAGATGAAGGGAAAGAAGAGACTGAGTCACTGTGAGCGCTGGTCTTTCTGATTTCATTGGCTCAAGCAACATGCATGCTTCACATGTCAGAACATGAAGCACGATGAAGCATCTGCAGCAAAGGGGTGATGATTCTTGCCGTTCCTGTGAATAATAATCGAACATCTAGAGAATTGTGAGTGATGAGAACCAGAAATAGCTAAAAGCAGGACCATCAAGAATCCAAGGGCTTCTCCTTTCCAGCAGCAGTTCTTTGAGAGCCTGTGTGAAAGGAAGCCCGATACCCAAGCAGAAAGAGGGTCTCAGCGAAGTTAGAACATTGAAATCTTCTCACGCGCTTTTCCCGAACGACGTGAGCGACACGACATGAGAGATAGTTTCGTTCGCCCCTAAGGATTTATGGATCAAATGGAGGCTTGGCTATACTCATGCTTTGTCTTTGTTTAGCGTCATTGGTATCATTTTGCAAGGCATTGATTCCAAGTTGTCGCAGTTTTACCTCTATTGAGTCGTTTGGCAGGGTGCCTGTGGACTTCTCTTAAACCAAAAGGATGCCATTGCTCTTGACCAGGAGAGATTGGGGTGCATGGTTTCACCTAACGCGAGGGTTGGGATTCTTCGTGTACATTGGACTATGAGTACTTGACAGAACTTCCGTACAGATATCTAAGTAAGGGGCTGCCTTGGGTGCCCTGCAGAACTGACAGGGACTGACGCTACATACCCTTCCTGGCAAGGAAAGAAGTTCAGAGCAAACCCAAAGCACTGAAAACCGATACTGGGCAACCCAACATACCATGGACATCGGGAACACCAAGAAGCTTTGTTCACCACTCGTACCATCGAATCATTGGAACAAGAGTTTCTTAATATGACATGTGAAGCATCCAGTGATGCCAACAAGATGTTTTCACACTGGCAGGGATGTTGATACTGCGCCCTGTCTCAAAATGACACGGCTGCTTCCATGTACAAGCACACTTCCTTAGATGCTGCGTTTATGCGCTGCCCGGCTACCTGGTTGATCAAGAGAACAGCAAAAGCAAGGCAAATGCTTTTCCCAGAAAGCATGGGTTTCCACAAGGGCAGTACATGAAGAATGACCTGGGACAAGGCTTGTTTGGATTTGTTGGCTGAATTTGCACAGGGCATACAGCCTTCGCACAGATCTATGCAGCCTTGCGTGTTCGCGTGCACAATCGAGCTTACTGGGGTACCTTCTTCAAATTTGGGTTGACACTAGGAAACTTGCAAAGCTCGCAGTGGGACACATTTTATCGCGACGGGGAATGTGCATGAGACGTGACGTTGTGACATGGAAAGTATGTTTTCTAATAGCTTGCTCCTAGTAGCGATGCCCTTGTTCCTAGCTTCTTGGTATATACTAGTAGTATGGCCAGGAGCTATTAGTAGCGTTCTTGCTCCTAGAGCTGGAGGTTCTGTTCCCTGTCCAGGAGCTCATGACATCTCCAGGCTTCAGTGTGGACCAGCTGATGGAGTTGGCTGGAGCGGCAACATTGCTGTCGTTGCCGGCTTTGGTGTTTGGAGTGCTTTAAACATTCCCAAGCTCAAGCAACGCCTCCTTCTCAGTGACCAGAAGGATTTTCAGTTTGTGGGGGAAGAAGAGCTGTCGTTTCATTTGCGGTGGTTGCGCAGGGCTTTCAGTTGCTTGCGCAGTTGCTACAGCCTTCCCGCGCGAGAAGTGCCCCATGGTAGTCTTTGATTTAGAGGACTGGATGTGGGCCATGATGGGGCATTCCAGAGGTATGAGGCAAGACCATCTGTGCTTCTTGTTTGCGGTCCTGGCAACAATGGAGGTGAAACTTGGCAAACCACTAAAAGCGACATGGCTGGTGACATGGCCGTTGGCATTGGCCGGTGGCCCGTAGCATTGCTGTGACATCCTTTGACGTGTTTTTTGATCGTTTCAGAAGAACAGGATGAGTTGGCCCAAGGATGGCTTGGTGGCCGCGCGACACCTTTACCACTTCGGCAAGGGACTCCCAGAAGTCCAGGGACATTAGCCGATTGAGAAACCAACCGATCAGGAAACTACGATTCCGAAACCAAAACAGCCGCTTCAGAAACTACGATTCAGAAACAAAAACAGCCAATTCAGCAACTATGATGCAGAAGCCAAACCATTCCGATTCAGAAACCAAATGGTCCGATTCAAACCAAATGAGCCGATTCAGAAACCAAAACAGCCGATTCAGAAACCAAGTCAGCCGATTCAGAAACCAAACCAGGTAATTCAGCAACTACGATTCAGAAACCAAAAGAGCCAATTCAGAAACCAAAACAGCCGATTCAGAAACAAAACAGCCGATTCAGAAACCAAAACGGCCGATTCAGAAACCAAAACAGTCGATTCAGAAACCAAGTCAGACTGTTCAGAAACTTAGCTAGACGATGGTTGGAATGGGGTGGAGGGCAGGAGGAGTGTGGGGTGGGGGGGGGGGGGGGGGCAGGAACCATGGCCAAGATGATAACGTTCCTTTTGCATTCATTCAAGTAAGACAGTAAGACTTTGTTTGTATCTACAGCATATGGCTGAATAGAGTGGAGGGTAGGAGGAGTGCGGGGTGGGGTGGGATGGGGTGGTGGGGGGGGTGGCCAAGATAATAACGTTCCATGTGGATGCAAAATGTTTTTTTCTACTACTACTACTACTACTGCTCCTCCTACTACTACTGCTGCTGCTGCTGCTCCTACTACTACTACTACTCCTCCTACTACGACGACGACGACGACTACCACTACCACTACCACTACCACTACCACTACGACCACGACCACAACTACGACTACAACTACTACTACTACTACTACCACCACCACCCGGGTCATCAGTTTCTTCTTGTGGACATGTTTTTGGATGTTTTTGGTTTTGTTTTCCTGGTCTCAGTTACCGAATCAGCGGTTTTGATTACCGATTCAGCGCTTTTGGTTACCGAATCATAGTTACCGAATCAGACCGTTTGGTTACCGAATCAGACGTCGACCGAAGTCCAGCTGCCAGACCCCCCTTTTTTTTAAAGTTATTTTTTCCCTAAGCTTAAATGTTCTTTATCCGTATCATCCATGGGATCTTGTCCCGAGGGTACGAGGCCCACGTGATTTACCCCAAGCCCAATGTCAAGGAACAGCTCTTTGTCTGGGCCCCAGATGAACAGCAGCGCCCAGGACACTTCTGACTGCGCTAAGGCTAACTTGCGCACCCAATTGGAGCAACTGTCGGTGCGCAAGAGAGAATCACTGTGTTGGTTAACGAGGAAGAACCAATCTTAAATTTAGATAAGTAACCCGCACCTTTGCAGTTCGCGCATGTCTACTCTTTCCCCAAAAGCTGGTCCAAAAGTGGTTTTCTGATTTTGAGGTACCAGTCGAAGCAGCTTTGCCGGATTCTCTTGACCGATACTGCGCAGTGGTCGATGCCATTGTCAGCCTTGCCATGATTCAGCAACCCATTGAAGGGCAAGCGGCAAGCTCTCAAGTCAGTCCCAGCACTTTCATGATGCTTGAGTTGCGACCAAGAAAGCAAAGCAAGTGAGTTTCGATGAGTTTCGCGTGTCTTGTTCCTAGCTGCAAATTCTCAATGCGGCAGTCTGCCAGTTCGGATTCTCCTTCAGCGGCGCAGTGCGTGCGCCCTTCGACGACATCATCAGGATGCTTGCATGGACATTCATGAATGTCTGAGACGCAAATCACACATCTGAGTGTTTCTCAATTTCTTGATTCGTCCACAAGCTGAGCACTGCATGTTTAAGCCTAGTTGAATCTTTGAGGAGACTGTCAAGCTCTGGCAGCCCACCTGTGCTTTCAGTCGACATCCCCTCTGGCTGGGATGTTGAGAAGGGTCCTCCAACGGAGGGGCCAGCCTTACAACCAGGTCCTCCCGTTGCTGCAAATTGTTGGCTCAGTGCGCTGTGCTTGTGGTTTTGCTGGGCAGCTTTGTCACGTGTGAACAAACGTTGCCGACCACCGTGGCTCAAGGGGTACTGACTTCGATTGACTTAGAGCACTGAGCACAGACTGAGAGTCATCAGATCAAGTTATGGTGTGAAGCATTGGGCATGACCAAAGGGGACATGAAGACAAGGAGTCAAAAATACTAAGGTGGCTCTGGATTGATCAACATAATAGGTGTGATGCGTGAACACCAAATTGACAAGAGGACCTCTTCATAAAGAGAGGTCCGGTTTGGGCCTATGACATGTCCGATGCTGACGGCTTGCCTGGAAATGCTGCCTCTGATAGACGGCTTTTCTTTTCCGTGCTTTTCGCACACGGCTTTGCGCGAGTGCTGTCGAAGCTCGCCTCAGCACCATTGGAACGTGTGAAGATTTGTGCGCAGGTGGGCTTGGCCTATCCGGGATGTTTGTACATGTTTCTTCCGCATGTCGTCATCATTTTGTTGCTTGAAAATTTGTTGTCGCTTGTTGCTTGAAAGGGTGTCGAAAGGGCCTGTTTGCTAAAGTGCAGATGACCAAAAACGCCTGGCAGGTAGGTGGATCTCGACCTCTAACCACATGCTCAGATCTGCTGCAACAGCAAGGCATCCGTTCACTTTGGCGTGGCTCCGCCACACATGTGACTGCAAGTATTCTGGGTGGCTTTGGACGGTTAAGTGCCTTGAGGACAACTCAGATGTGGATGATGCCCGGTGGTGATCGGCATTATCAAGGCTTCGAAGGATATCTTCGCAGATGTTCCTTTTTTGTACATGTCGGGAGCTGGGGCCCTGATCTTGGTCTATCCATTGGATGTGGCCTACACTTGCTTGGCGGCCGACACGAAGGGACAGTTCCGAGGCCTTCTGCACTTCTTCTCCGAAACAAGACGGAGACATGGCCTTCTCAACCTTTACCGAGGATTACCGCTGTGTCTTCTCACTGCGTTGCCATATATTTCCATTGCCACGGCGTTGCATGATACGCTTGCACCCTGGCTGATGACGCAAATGGGACACCGACCCTCTGTGGACCCCAAGTCTCTTCAACCCGGCGCAACTCAGCTGAATTGCGCAACTGGTGTCAGCTTCTTGCTCCTAGTAGCGATGCCCTTAGCTACTAGCAGCGTCCTTGTTACTAGTAATTAGTAATGCCAGGAGCAGCTTCTTGCTACTAGTAGCGATGCTAGATGTGGATGGGACAGTGGATCATGGCGCAGTCAATGTTGGGGTAACCAGGAAAGCTGAGAATCCTATGTTGAACAACAACTGACCTTCACGCAGAGTCTCGCATTGAGGCCCAACAATTAACTTGGGGCTGCTCATGGTATAACAATAAACGGCAACTCAGTGACACCGAAAAAGTGCAGAAATCTCAGTTGCATTTTCAGAAGAAACACCGGTGAAGAAAAGGGCGCCTGCGCACCTGGTCGCCATCGTCGGCAGAGGACCTCTTTTGGCTGGTTCGACACGGAGCACCCGCTCACTTGTATCCCTGGCGCAGCCGCCATACTTCTAGAGCCCAACGCCCATCTTCCGAGCCGATGAACACAGACCGATCGACACACCCACGATCGGTCTGAATCGGACGATCCCCACATGGGAGCACGAGTCTCGAGTTGTTCCAGGGTAGGTCGAACTGCGCAGACACCAACACGGATGCCAGGAACCTAGTTGTTGGTGCCGCATCTGGCTTCGTTGCCCAAACCGTGGAAGCCTCAACCACCAAAGCACAAAAGCTTCGTTCAATTTCTTTCTGATTGACAGCCATGTCAAAGGTGAGAACTTCACGATGTCACGATGTTCAATAATGTTCATTTATACTTACAGTACCCCACTCGCTGGTGGAAGTCCAACCTTGTGTGTTGGCTTCTGAAGCAATACTTGCTTGCATTGTCGAGGTCACCTACCCTTTGGATACTTTGCGGCGCAGGCATAGATGCAAAGCTGGAGCAGCCAATTCTTTTGTCCCGCTGATTCACTTGCAAATGATACCAGGGCAAGAAGCTACTAGATTGGAGGCCATCGCTACTAGGGTGGAGGGCATCGCTAGTAGGTTGGAGGCCATCGCTACTAGGTTGGAGGGCATCGCTAGTAGGTTGGAGGCCATTACTACTAGTTAAGTTTCCCTCAAAATCTAGGAACCAAATCATTAGCGCGAGCTATCCTGCATCCAGTCGGTAGTAGCTATTTAGACTACTAGCTACCTACCTCTAGCTACTACCTCTTAGCGGCCTACCCCCCCCTGAAAAAATAAACAACAACACACATATGCAATAGACAAAAAGGAAAACAGAGACAAATACGAAACTGCGAGCTTTCATTCAGACATTTCAAGCTTTGAGCCCACTTTCGTCTGCACCCTGCGCTGCATTTCCGCTCGCAGGTGGCAGCACACTTGCGCAGGCAAGAATTCATAAGAATTCTATTGGCGACCAAGGGGCGGTGTGGCCCAATTGGCTGTTGCTTGCACAAGGCCCTCGCGCCAGCATGCCACCGTCTCTGAAGGATTGTCCAACTCTCAGCAGCTGCAGCTTCGCTTTCGTCAAGATGCAACTAATTAGTGTAACTAATTACTTTGAATCCCCAGGATCCCCACCATCCACTGCCTCAACTGCCAAGCTTGTGTTTGAAGAAGGGCTTTCAAGAAATCCAAAACCTGTATCAGGTGCGAAGAGCATCTACGCGAAAGGCCGTAAGCTTAGCACAGACAAGATGAACTCAGTGAAAGAGACATCGAGACCAATCACACTTTGCAAGCACTCAAAGTGGGTCTGGCACGGTCTGGTGTGTCCTTGAGCATGACGTTTAGCCTTGGATGGGACCCTGAGAACCGACTCATTTCTCGACTCAGAACGTTTAGGTTTTTGGAACCGACACAGTGGGCATGAGACCTTCAGCGATTGAATCAGCAAGTGGCACGTGAATCCAGAAAGGCATGTCATGTCCCAAGCCGCTGGGTACGTGCTGAGGTGACCTGAAGGTTTTCTATCGTGGTCTAAGTCTTAACTCCCTGAAGCTGATCCCCGAGCTTCTCGCACCTTGTTTGAATGGCTCGACATCGACGCATTTTTTTGGGTCCAAAAAAAGCAGTTATGACATGATCGGCTTGGTCTGCGATTGAGCTGTGACATGCCTTTAATCGGTTCCATAAGCGTCTTTCATCAGCGGATGATGATGCGCCAAATCCGGCCCGAAGGTCCTCAGTGGAGTGTACTTTGTCATCAACGCCTCAGGCAATTTCGCCGCTCGTCGTGGGCAGACCGAAGACTGGTCGCGGCGGAATGCCATTCTTGGTCGCACTGAGGTCTGAACGCCATTCTTGGGGTCGGAGCTGGGCGACGCAATGTAGCTCGCGGGACGGAGGACGTAGCGATGAGACTTCCCGATTGGTCGAAGCCTCGATGGGAAGCAGCTCTGCCGTGCGTGGCAGTGCCGCCCATGTCGCTGGAGAAGCAGCTCTGCTTTCGGCCATGCCAGGCCAATCTGGACACGCCCCCTCAGCCGGAAAAAGTGGCCCGAGCGGGGGGAAGTGGAGGGAAGGGTCCCGATGTATACATTGTACAAAAAGACAAGTAAGGGGAATAAAGGTAACGAGGAAACATCAACAGGGAGAATGTGTAAGCGTGTAAAACTGCAAGTGGACGCTTTGTGGTGAAGCTTTGCCACGAGAGCTGCACAGGTCTGTTGATCTCCCTCACTGCGCCAAAGATGTGTGCAGCGCACTTCAAAGGGAGGCACTTCCTGGGCGGTCGCTTTGGCCCCAAACTCAGTTGATGCTGTCCAGGATGGTTCAATGATTGACGCCGCTCAATGTCTTGTGATTTGTTCCTTTTCAATACCTTTCCGACCTTTCCTCCCTCAACTCTTGGACCAACAAGGGCGCCAGTGTCTTGATTAGTTAAGTTTTCCTAAAAATCTAGGGCGAGCTATCCTGCGTCCATACTACTAGCTTAAGTAAGCTACTAGCTACTAGCTACTAGCGGCCTCCCCCCCCTGCGAAAAAAGAAAGAGACCATGCTTCACTCATTTGCTTTGAAACGAGAGAAGCGAGCCATGCTTCACTGAGTTCCTCCGGGAATTCTGGAGAAGTACCGGCTGAAGCTGCCGGAGTATCCAGGTGTGAGTCAAGCACCGACCCCCAGAGCCCGTTGAGACCCGTTGAGACCCGTCGAGACCCCTCGAGACCCGTGAGGTGGTGGAGTTGCCCAGCTGAGTTGAGTTCCCTGTGCGGCACCGTGCGCACCGTGTGCTTGCTGTGGAGCTAGAGCAAGCACCTGGTTGGAAGAAAAAGGAACCTGTGAGGCTCATGTCAGATCTCAAGTTCTGGAAGCGATCAGTTGACACTGCACCTGTGGTGGAAAAATAGATGCAGAGCGAAACTCAGAGCGAAACTACTCCGGGAGTATCCCGCACTTTTTCGGTGCCTCTAGGCAGCACCAGCAAGCGATGCAAGATGTGCCGACTGAAGGTCGCCATTTGCAGGCAAGACATGGTGCCAATCTTGTGCCAACATGGATTCGGTCTTATTCTTTGGGGTCAGTAACAGTTCTTTGTTCGATTTCACATGAAGCCGAAGTTTGGGCAAGACATCACTTTTTCATCAAATATCCAGTCGTCAACATGTCCAGAAGCACCCTGCTTCCAACCCTGGCTTTGGAGGCATATCTCACACAGACCGAAGATCCGGGGAATTTTCTGCTCTGAACTCAAGCGCGAAGATGGCTCTGACCAAGAACAACAATTCCATCCGTCCATACTACGGATAGGTTTGATATGTTGTGATGCTTTCTGAAGGAAGCATATCGTATCCGTTGCTACCGGCCTTTACAATGCTTCTATTTAAAAGATCTTCACATGTTGGGTCACAAAAGACACTGAATCCTTCCCGTTTTCTATGGCTTTCTGCTCTTTCTTCAACCTCGTGAGGTACATCCCGAGTAGAGAGCATTTGGGGCGGCAAGAAGCCGAAGACTTTCGCGATCCAACACAGGCCCATCACAGCGAACGTGAAAGAAACATTGTCTAAAGGGTTCTATGAGGGTCTATGATCGTCTATGAATGTTCTCACTTTCTTTGTTTCTCTTGTTTTCGCAGGATATTTGCTGCATATACTTCCCTTTTGCCGCTCACCGTCACAGTTTTTGACACGATTTTACGCGTCTCTTGAGGACGTGAAAGAGCACGCGGAGCCGGTGAAGGTCCTTGGTGAACTCGTCAAGGTCGATCCAGCCGACAGGGCGGCATCCAGGCGGATCCGGGCGGTCAAACGCTTCTTTTTGGAGGCAACCGACGTGTTTAAAAGCAGAACGGTTTGAAAGACCTACTGTACTGTACCAATTTGACAGATGTATTGAAGATATGTTATATAACGGCTGTCCAATCGAGTGTGGCTCAGCGAACAACAAAGAAGACTTCCTGACATCCTGACTTTCCTCCAAATTCCTCTACAGTTGTCATTCTTCTTTTTCTTCACCCCATCTTCTAGACAAAGGTGAGCTTGAAGGGATGCTATAAATACATATATATATATATAATAGTAGATGTTGTTTTGCTCATGCTTGGCTACTGGTAGTGCTCAACGCAGTTTTGCTTCTCACCAAGGCCGCCCTCCCAAGCCTCCACGGCCGCCGGGACCTTCTCGCGGCCGCCCACCGCCGGAGACTCGCGGCCCAGCTCAGCGGTGGTGTCTCGAGGACTCCCTTTCAGGCAAAGGGAGGGGAGGCGACGGACACCGACGGAGGTGGGGGAGGGGATGGATGTAGGTGGATCATATGTGAAGGTGAAGGATTTCAACTCCAACTTTAGGCTTTTTGGGGCATTTGTAGGCAGTATTTTGCTTGTATGTGAGTCCGTTGCACTTTCCCAATGCAGGACTAACCAAGTAATTAGAGAGAAAATTCAGCTGGTAGGAGAGGCCTCACATCTGGACCCATGTCACCCAGCAGTGCTAAGCCAACGATTCCAGGCCAAGCAGTGCTGTGGCCAGAAGTACTCGACCTGCTTCAGCTAGGCCTGCTCAGTTGCCTAAAGCTGTTATGATTGCATTTGACACATGGCATTTCTCCAGGCCAGCAACAAATACTGGTGCTTGCCTGAGAGTGCGGAGTTGACTCTTTCACGGCTTCTTCGTAGCAGTTTTTCACTACTTATGGGTGTTGCATGTTCGGCTTTCCACCGCTTTTGATCCGCCCGCATGTGACTGGACTTGTCCAGCAACTGTTGACAGTACTGCTTGACTTAATGGGAGACGTGAAGTGGCAATTGGGAGAAATAGTGAGTTGTGTGGCACTTTCCTGCAGGCGATGCAAGGCACGGCCTGAGTTTGTGTTGCCGGATTCAAGCTTTTGCTTTTGCGTCCTCCAGATATTGTTGAGGCAAGCTTTATTTCCAAGAGTCACTAGACAGTAAAGTAAGGACACATTGTTGCATTGAAAGTGTTTTTGGGACTGGTGACTGCTAGAGTAGAGGTAAGAGCGTTTGTGCATTGCAAGCGCAGTGTCTCCTGCGGTACTTGGAGAGGGGGTACCTTGAGACACATTTAAGATGTTTTTGCGTGATTTTGCCAAGCACGCCTTTGTCCAAGACACACT